CTGGGAGCCCCAGGACCAGCAGCCATCCCCAGAGTCAGGAGCCAGGGGACGGCTCTTCCCCCAGAGCCTCAGAAGGCACGGACACTCTTGGGTCTCAGACGGATCCAGAATGCGATGGTGAATCTCTTCCTTAAGCCACCCACGTGTGGCATTTGTCACCGAGATACCGGGGGCCTGGTCTGCGTCTGGGAGTCAGGGTGAGGAAGGGGAATTAAGGACACCTTCAGTTCAGGGCAGCCCCACCCAGCCTGCATGAGACCTTACAAGATGTGTTCTTCAGTAACTGACAGCTTTCACTCAGCACAGGTTTCAGGGTCCATACGTGTTGTAACCTGTACCCAAGCTTCATCTCTCTCTGGTCTAGTCTTCATTTCTATGATTCATGAGTAATCGTCCCATGGATGGATGGGCCACCCTAGTGGATGGACAAACTGAACTGGTGTGGGCTACCTCTCAACGCCTGTGAAGAACTCATCCTGCAGCAAACACGGGTATCCAAGGGTCTGGGTCTCCCTCTCCCTCCTCTCGGGCAGCCACGGAGGGTACAGTGGCTGGGACTCGGGGCACTTTTCTGCTTCACTTGCTGAGGAGCCACCAAACTGTTTTCCACAGGGAGTCACCGCTTTAGTCACCACGAGTGAATGAGGGCTCCAGTTTCTCCACATCCTGGCCGAACGTCTACAACCCTAGATGGTGGTTTTCATTCTTAGGTCTTCCTCCTCGTTACTGGCCCCCTCCTGTACCGAGAGGATGCCAGTCAGCCTCCAGAGACTGGTTCCTCCCGATGGCCGAGGTCTGCAGGATGCACACTCCTGAGAAGGAGGGATCTGAGGCAAAGATGGCGGTCCTTGCTTCTGAAGAACGCCCCTGCTGTGTTTCTCCTAACACAGAGATTGCTCGTTCTTCTGGAAGTCCACCGCAAGGCACTGACCAGGCTTTGCCACCGCCATCGTCCAAAGGCATCCACTCTCCCTTGGTCTTCCTTTTTCACTGTCTTGCTTTCATGTGCACAGGAAGTGAACGAGGATGCCACGGCGTGGCTCAGGTGTGCCACAGTCCTCAAAGTGCCATCTCTGATCTCTGACACTTTGTTGAACACTTTCACACCCTGTGCCGCAGATATGCTGTGGGTCTCTTGACTGCTGTTTCCATGGGTGTTGCTGGTTGGGGGTCCGAGTCAAATGAAATCCTTGACAACTTCCGTCTTTTCTCCGTTCATGACGATGATGCTTGTTGGTCCGGTGATACCTTTCTGTTGAGGTATAATCCACACTTGAGGCTGTCATCTTTGATCTTCATCAGCAAGGGCTTCAAGTCCTCTTCACGTGCAGCAAGTGCGGTGTGTCATCTGCATATCACAGGCGGTTAATGAGCCTTCCTCCAATCATCCTGATGCTGCGGTCTTCTTCACATAGTCCGGATTCTTGGGTTACTTGCATAACGTACGGACGAACAGGATGGTGAAAGGACGCACCCCTGACGCACTCCTTTCATGGTTTTTATACTTTGCTGCTCTTTTCGAAGGACTGCCTCTTGGTCTCCGTACAGGTTCTGTGTGAAGTGTTCGGGAATTCCCATTGTTCACCATGGTACCCATAGTTCGTTATGATCCACACAGGAAACATCTGTCTGGGATTCTCTTGATTTGTCTGCCAATTATTTCCCCCCAAAGTTGCAATGATTTATGCCAACACAAGTGGCTGCTGTCCCCCTGCACTCACCACCCACCACAGAGGATGACATGACCACAGACTTCCAACACCATCTTAGCACCCATTGGCCGAGGATGGTTGGAACATTACTGTCTGACACTTGGATTGAGAAGTCAGCAAGATTCTGCTCTGGAATCCGCTCTGAAAATCAGGCTCCCCTCCTCCTTGTCCCAAACTTCTGCACCTGGAAGCCAGAGTCCCCATCCTCAGAGGCACCCTGTCACCTGTCCTGAGCAGAGACGGACAGGAGCCTAGCCCCAAGCCCTGGCGCAGTCAGGCTTCCCTGGGAGCGCAAAGCCAGAGCCCATCCACTGTGTGGGGCATGAGGAGAGAGAGAGACAGACCTCATGTGCCGGAGCTAAGGCGGGCGCATCCCATGATGCTGGTAGGGACTACAGTGTCACTGGAGCTCAGAACCAATGCCCAGCACCCCTCTCTACCCACCCCCCACCTCATCCCCTCTTTCCTCCCCCCTGCCCCCACCCCCATGTCCCCTGCACCACCATCTCCCCATCAATGCTTTTGGCCCTTCCATAAAAACTGGGGGTGGGGGTGGGGGGCGGGATACCGTATGATCATCACCCAGGCGCACTTGCACCTGTGGCTCCAGCACACCTGGCCCCGGAACTAAGGACGCTGTCACAGGCTTCTCCCTGAGTGCCTGCAGGAAACGGCCACCTCCCTGCCCTGACCAGGGTGAGCTCAGCCGCAGACACTGCTGCACGGGCAGCCTCGTCCTCTCACTGCCCACACCCCTGTGTGCCCAGAACCAACGTGGGTGAAGTTGTGGCCCCTCTGTGGTCAAGCAGCCTGAGCTTGCCTGCCCCACTGTCCTCCCCAGCTGGGCCACCAGGCTCGGGCGCAGGACCCATGGGCCTTCGATTGTCCTGGAACCTCCCTTCACCCAACAGACATCACTGAGCCCCTTCTCGGCAGCAGGCTTCCTTCGGCATCCTGTAGACACTGGGCCGTGTTCTTTCCAGCCCCTGCTTCTAGAGCCTGGGCCCTGCTCCGGCCCATTCTCAAACCCAGGCACCATTTCTGCCCTTGCTAGATATCAGGTGACAAGCCCTGGTGGAGTCGTGGGTCACGTGCCATTCCCTGGGGGACATGAAGTGTCTGCTGTGGTAAAGACTTACAGCCTCAGGAACACTATTCCGTGGGGTTGCCCTGAGTTAGGATCAACGTGATGGCCGTGGGCTTGGGTTGCTGTTGTGTTTTGTTTATACAGGGGGTCTGTTCTAGCACTCCAGGCTCGCTTCTCACACCTTCTAGATACAAACCCTGTTCCAGCATGTTCTAAGACCAGCATTGTTCCAGCTGGTGGTACTTAGATTTTATGTCAACCGGACCCTGTGTGAAGGTGTAGGAACGGAGTGCAACCAGTCAACTGGGTGGTAGCCTGGTGATGCCTCCTTGGGAGTGTGGCCTTTTCACAGGAGAGGCACTGGGTTTATGTCTCCCCTCTTCTGGCCCTTCACCTTCCTCCTCGCGGGGACCCACGTGGGCCATCCCCTAGAGAGTTGTCGGCACTCTGCCGTGCTTCCACTGACCTGGTCAGTACATCATCTGGTGTCAACTTGAGACTACTGAATGAAGGGGTGGAGTGTAGCCTGTCGAGCAGATCACAGCTTGATGACCTCATTTGGAGGTGCTACAGAGATAAACCGCTCACTGGAGCCCAGACCCACACTCTCTGCTTCGTCTTCCTGCTGATAAGACACATGGAGCTATGGGGCTGGAGCCAGAGCCCTGGAGCTGGAAGAGCCACGTGGGGACCCACACCAGTGCTGAGATGCTTCCACCGCCACTGGATCCACAAGGCTTTCCACCCACTGGCCTGGGATCTTCCTGTATTCAGCGTCATTGCATGTGTTGCATGAGTCTGAAGAGGAACTTACAGACTGGGATTGAACATATGGGCTAATATTGGACTTATGGACTTGATGTGGACTGGGCTGAGATGTTTTCTCAATATTCAATTACTCTTGTATATAAAGTTCTTTGTTACACACATATGAGTGTCTATGGATTTGTTTCTCGTTCACCCGGACTCACACACCTGGTATCCACACGACTCTGCACCCACTGGCCTGTGATCCTCGTTTCCGCTTTCTGTGCCATCGGTCTACAGCTACGAGTCTAAAGAGGGGTCCAGCTAGCACTTATCAGGCGCTTTCCTGCACATAGATGAGCGTCACTGGGTTTGTTTCACTAGACAACCCGGCTTCACACAAGCACCTTCTAGATACCCCCACCTGTTCTAGTACCTTCTACATATCAGACATTGTTCCCGCACCAATACACCACACCCTGTCCTGACACCTTCTAGACACCGGAGGCTGTGCCAACATCTTTCACATATCAGGTATTGTTCAGTTACTTCCTGGCTCTGTTCTGGTACCTTCTGGTAACCAGGCCCAGACTCCATTGAACTTGAAATGGGTGGTTTGTTCTGCCATGGCCCCCAGGTAGGCCCCCCAAGACACAAGGAGAGGCTCGTGAGGTCACCTGCACCTCACCTGACCTCTGCTCACCTGTGGGCCTCAGGTCCCAACAGCAGGAGCAACATTTTCTGGGTCCCGTGCCCAGCCCCTACTTAGGCTCCAGCCCAGCACATCACCTGGGCCTCCAAAGCTGGATGGTAGAACCATGGTCCACGAGGCGGGCTGGGTAGCTACTGAGCCCCATTATGAGCCAGGGGTCCCCACCCACAGAGTGGAGGTTGAGGAGGCCACGGCCACACAGGGCTGGCCAAGGACTGCCTCCAGGTGTCGCCTCAAAAGCCATTCCGGTATGGCTTTGGCCCTAGGCACGGCCGTGTGTCCACCCACCCCTGCCACCCCTCTGTGAAGCCCTGCGGAGGGGTTGGCACCAGCTCTGGACCCCCGGGTGGGGCCCACCTCCTCACAGCACACATCCTTCTCATCAGCCTTTCCCCTAAGGGTGTCAGCCCAGGATCCTGGGGGCTCAGTCCTCACTCACTCCAGGTGAAGGAGGGACCCGATTTTTCCTTAAGGGACTCAGCTAGAGGCTACAGAGATCCAAACACCACTACTGCCCTAGGACTCCCGGGGGGTGGAGGCAGCCACTCAGGGATCAGCAGCTGGAAGCTGGCTCCCCCTCCCACAGCCTGGCTCCCTCTCCCTTCCTGGACTCAGGAATCCAGCGCATCCCAACGGCACCCCAAGCAGAAGGTGCATGGCCCCATTCACAGACACGGGCTGGGGGGCCTGGGGGCTGGGAGAGCCGGGGACATTCCCAGACCTGCCCCCAGCACCAGCCTACCTTGGAAGAAGCTCTTGACCCTGAGGTAGCTGACGCTGAGACGCAGGACAGAGAGCTTGTCCAGCTTGGAGATGATGTCGGGCGGAAACGGGAGCAGGCTGGCCAGGTGGTCCAGCTCTGCGTTGAGGCGGTCCCGGTGCCGCTTGGAAGGGTTGGACTTCTCGGACGCCGAAGCTGGCTTCCTGTGAAGATAGTGGGCCTGTGTCAGAGTGTGGATCCCCTACCGCATGCTTCAGACCCCACGGAGGGATGGGCCACAGCAGAACAGGCTCCACACATACCATGGGTATCATAGATGCCACGGCTGGATGGACCCTGCAGACACCACGGACCCCGATGGGAGAACTGACCCCAGGATGGCCACGATCTCCACAGACCCCAGGGGGCCCACGGCAGATGGACACTACGGTGTGGGACAGGTCCCATGGTGAGACAGACCTCATGGTGGGACAGGTCCCATGGGCATGACAGGCCGCATGTTGGGACAGCCCTATAGGTACCACAGGCCCCATGGACACCATTATCCCATGTGGGGACAGCTCTACAGGTACCACAGGCCCCATGGACACCATTATCCCATGTGGGGACAGCTCTACAGGTACCACAGGCCCCATGGACACCACTATCCCATGTCAGGACAGCCCTA